GGAACTTGTCGGCTTCGTTTAACGCTCCGACGGAACCCGACGGAACTCGACGATCATGATAGGCTCTTCAACGGAACTCGACGGGTCCCGAAACCGAAGTTGAGATTGGACGTTGCAGAGGAAGTTGTGGCCGCTGGTTGCTGCTCCGGTGATTATCCGATGGTTCTGGCCGAGGCAGTGATGACGAGCAACGAATGGTGGTTCGCGGCGGCACACGACTGCCGACAAGAGGAGAACGATGGTGCTTCTGGTCGCGAGGATTGCCTGTTGGCCGTGGAAGGAATGCTCGCCCGGAGTGCAGGACACGACAGCGATGGACGTTGCGCGACAGGGGTGACGATGGGGACGCGGTGCAGTGTCGCCGGTGGAGACTCGCCGGTCTTCTGGTGCTGCTCACGGCGTCTTCTGCCTCTGCTATGCGTCCCGAGAGGGAAATTAAAAAGAGAGAGATAAGAGACTGAAGGCTGCGGGTGGATCTCTGTTTTTGCTGCTAAGGGTGAAAATATATATATACATATATACATATATATACCATAAATAATTTAGGGTTTAATTTTCTTGTTTGACAAGAAAATTCCACACGTACACACACGTGAGGGAGGGAACCGGACCGGGTCAAAAATTCGGTTCATCGAGTCGAAAGCTCGGTTCTAGCGCGGCTTCAAGAAATTGGATCGGTTTTCGGGCTCGGTTAAAATCGCACGATTGATTAAATAAAACCGGACCAAAATATATATATAACACATTCTAATTAAATATAATACACATAATAGTATTAGTTAATAATACACATTAATCATTTTTTTTTTTTTTATCAATTCGGCACATTGGACAATTATATAAATATAAATATAAATAATAATAATAACAATCAAATAAACAATTAAAGGCAATTAGGCATTTAGCAAAATATTTATAATAATAACAATAGCAATAATAACTTAGGCAATTAAATAATAATAATAATAATAATAATAATAATAATAATAATAATAATAATAATAAAGACAATAAATAATAAATAACCCAATCATTACATATTCAAACGGATTAAATTCAGGTCGCGCGATTAAACGTCAATCGCCTACGACGAACATTTTTCAATAGAACAATCGAGAGCTCCGACCTATTATTCAAGTCGATGCCGCGACTAATAAAATATAATATATCCCTATAAATAATATTCAATAAATAGAATATTCCGAGAAATTCTATAAATCGAACGGGGCGTTACACTTATGATCTTGATAACTCCTCCTTTTCTGACGTTGATCTGGATACCATGACCAAAGTTCTTACTTCTGGTCAATTGGATACTTGGCCTGGTTCTAATTGCCTGTTAGTTCACTTTGTTTTGTTGCCAATCTGTTACATAAGATTGGTGCTGGGAATTGGACTCCTACTTCCAATAAAACTCTTCTCACTGAGTCCCAGAGTAAGGTGATCTATTGTGTTATGATTGGGCAGATTTTCAGTTTTGGGCATATGTTCTTTGATATCCTTCATACCTTTGTTACAAATATCGAATCTCGCAAGACCCTCACTTTTCCCTGTCTTATTTGGTCTTTCTTGAGTGCCCACAACTTTGCTGTTAATCCTCGCTACCAAGATGCTCTTGATAACCAGGGCAAAGCATTCACCGTGAGTGCTCGTACTCTTAATGAAAAGGGAACCTCCAAGGTAACACGGGAACTGGCTCCCTCCTTGGTTCCTAAAAACTAGGGAGAATTTGTGGCTCAACAGCTTGGTGAATGGGACGCGATAGCTAAACGGGTTGCCGCTCAGCAGGCCTATCTCAAGCAAGTGCTGCAGGCGGTTAAGGGGACCAATCGAAAGACTGCGGGGACAGGCCCTTCGGCATCCCGTAGTTCGAAAAAGGGGGAGAAGGGTAGTGCTGCTGTGAAGGATGATGGAGGATCTGACTCTGGGGGAGATAGCACCGATGATGCCATTGCCAACTATCATGATGATGAATGAATAGTGTTGTGTTTTGAGTGCTGTAGTGAGGTCTTATTGTAATTAAGAACCTCTTTTTGTGTCTGCTTATGATGCTATGATTGGGTTGCTACTATTTGCTTTTGATGATGGTTTAGTACTTTGTTTTTATGAATGATCATTTTGCTGATCTTGGTCTCTTTAATTGATGCCATTTTTTTGTTATATTTCCGTGTACTGATTGCAGGTACTGAGGGGGAGAACTGCCCGTAGAATATTTCTGTGTGATCTAGCTTATTAATGTGATTAGTCTCTTGGTGCTTGTTGTTTTCATTCCAGGAGACCTTGATGTCTATTATTTTCGAACTAGATGCCAAAGGGGGAGATTGAAAGATATATTTTATTCTGGCATTAGTTCTATGGTTCGAACAAGTACCTGGAACCACAGAAATAGGGAAGACCTTCAAATATACTATTTCCTTAATTAAGTTACTTTTACATTCCATATATAAGATAATTGCGGATCTTATTATGGTATTCTATTTTGTAGGAAATCGGGCATGATGGAGATAAAGAAAGAGGAGGCGTGTATGCTAAGGAGATCAAGGAGAGAGAGAAGAAGATTCACTTACCAAAACTCTTATGCTATAATCAAGGAAGGAAATCATATTGGAGTCCCATGCCTTGCAGAAGACTCCAACCCTAAGGAGATTCTTTTTAAATACCCTTATGCAAGCTCTCATTGCGGCTGCTGAGTTTTGAAGATCTTTAGAGCAATATTTGAGCTTCGTATATTCTGTTTAAGTTGAGTTGTACACAGTTCAGTCTGAGAGTTCCTACTAACTCAAGGACTGAAGCTGTTTTTTATTTAGTTCTTTGTGTTTCATCCAAAACTACTTTATAGCTTATACACTTAGGGAGTAAGTGTAGATTATTAAAGTCCACGGGACGTGGCCGGAGAATTAGTTGATAGGATCTGTGTAGTGTTGGCTAGGCTTGAAGGGAGTTCGAGTCGTTGTAAGTCCAAGCTATGTGTATGTTTGATCTATCAATGAAAGAGCTCTGAGGGGGTCAGTCCCAAAGAAAGCATTGCTACTCCATGTGACAGAAGCTTTTCAAAATTGACCCGTAATTTGTGCTTATCAAGCCCATCGGACGTGGGGCCTACGGGATAGTGTGCTCGTCGGTCAAAAGAGAGACCAGTGGGAAGGTTGCGATCAAGAAGATACACAATGCCTTCGAAAATAGAGTTGATGCATTGAGAACTCTATGCGAGTTGAAGCTTCTCTGATGCATTGAGAACTCTATGCTCTTGAAGAATGTTATCTCTCATCAATATATACCCCAACCAAATCAACTACAACTTTCCTAACTCTCATAACATCAAATCAGCAAAGCATTTAAGAGACATGAAATTCAAGGGAATATATATGTGCCATGTGCCATATATAAGTTTCTCTCGTCAATATAGGAAAAATTTGAAGGCTGGATAATGTAGTTGATTAAACAAAACCCTTACAAAGTCAATATACATGCATGGTAATGATTTATATTAGTTTTAGCATTCATAAACTCTTGTGCGAGGCAGTCCAACGGTCATCCAGGTCGACCCGTCATACTTTTTGAACAAAAATGTATATTTATACTGAAAAATATCATACATTCAACGGTCATCCAGGTCGACCCGTCATACTTTTTGAACAAAAATGTATATTTATACTGAAAAATATCATACCTTTGTTTATATTATATTTTAAAGTATGTAACTTATGCGTAAAAATATGCATGTCTATTAAAAAAATATTAATATAATTATCTAACTGCTGAATCTGTCTAACGAAATTACCGAATTGACTTATATATTAGTTGTAGGTACAACTAACTTATAGAAATTCAAATTTTCTCATAATTTCGAATTGACTTATATATTAGTTGTAGATACAACTAACCTATAGAAATTCAAATTTTCTCATAGTGGGATAACCTGAGACAACAAACCCTACACCGATTGAACGAAATTCTGACAACCCACCAGGCGGCACGGTGTTTTCTAGCCATCAGGGAATACTTTCACCGCCTGCGAGCCCTCAGCTCCGTCTTGCTAGCCCGCCTTCGCCCGGGGTAACAACTATCAAGGGCCTTAAAATATAGACTTGTACATTTTACTGATGATATATATTGTAAAGTTTGTTATATATCTTGCATTTATGGATCTATATATTGCTATTTGTTAGCCTCCTTTTATTTAATTAACTCTCTTTCTATGTACATACAAAGAAATTACAAGTATGAAAGAGAAAAGGGAAAGGATTTTGAAAAAAATGCTTAGAAAATTGAAACTTTACTCGGTAGTTTTCAATATCTAAAAACTCTCTCATATTTTTCTATAATTGCATTAAAATCACACAAAACTCTCAAATTTACAGCCATTTACTGAACTTGCAAGTTGCTCATATTCCATGGCTGCGTAATATATCATATATTCCACTCTGTAAAACTACGATTATTGAGTCGTTTGGAAAACTCGGTAGTGTGTACAGACAGTACAGCTAGTGTGTAGTGCACAATCATCTGAAGTACCAGCTATATTATCATTATTATACGCATCCTTCTCGAAATCTTCAAAGTCTCGGCCTCGAACCAACCTTACCAGGAATGTGAAGGGCATCATAATGGCCATAGCCATGATAAAGGACCTTAACGGGATTATCCTTGCCATACTCCTGCCCGTACTCGGCTATAGATATCAAGCCACCCGATTCTTGGTCGTGCATGTACACCGTGATCGGCATCCTAATATTTTAACATTTTCTATTAGTCCATGCAAAAGTATATATTCTTTTTATAGCCATTGAAAATTTATGTATCTTGAATATTACGACCTCGTAAAATATATATACTCGATCAATTTAGCCTTTTTCTTTTGTTTTTTTTTTTTTTTTT